CTCATTGACTGGCCTCAAATTTATAACCCTCTGGACTCAGCCTCCCTGGTAGCTGGGATTACAGGCATGTACCAGTACCTGGCTGTAATGTAACTTTTAAAAATAAATTAGTGGCATCTTTCCACATGAACAAATAGAGATCTATGCATTTGGAAAAGCTAAATGGTGTTCTCTGTGGACCTATCATACGTTGTTTAATTAATCTCTGACTGACGAACATCATCTGTTATAACCAGCAATGCTGGAAAGAAAAATTTTATACTCCTATTTTTCACACAAGTGTATGTTATTTAGGACAAATTCCTAGAAGCAGATATGTACATTTTAAGTTCCAACAGACATTGCCAAATTTACTTCCAAGAAAACTTACATCCCTGCCAATGTCCCTACATCCCATCCACTATTAACTAACATCAATTTTTAAAATTTTCCTCAATCTGATAAGTAAAATGGTATAATTACATGTTTCATTTTATACTTATTTAAATGATTGGGTTTACTGAATTTAGAGGTCAGGTATATTTTGAATTTATTATTAGTTGTACACTAAGCTAAACTGCCTATGGAGAAAAAAATTCAAAAATCACATTAACAGTATGTTTGGGAAGACTGTTAATGTCTAACCAATTTGGGTTTTGAGCACAATGATGCCAACTAAAAATGAGACAGATGTCTTAAAATACACTTGAAATACATTGCTATAATCTCTTCAGAGCTATGATATACACTGTAGAAACATTTCTTTTAATACATATAGCACATGGATAGTCATGTATTCACTTTCTCAATTGCATTTACAACACCCTCTGATTAGTTCACTTTGATAATATTTCACTTTTTTTATATACAGTGTTGTTTATTAATATGACATTTGACCTCTATAGATGTTACAAGGTACAAAGGTACAATTGGTACTCAGCCATGGGCATCCAATAAAAATAAGACATAGGTGGCTGTATTAGAATATAGAAAAAGGAGAGAGAGTAAGAGAAGTAAATGTTAGCAAGAGCCACATGAATGTTCTAGACATTTTGGTTTATAAAAACAAAACACCAGCACAGCACCACATACTCTATAAATGCATGTATAAATGAGATGACTTTTGTGCCTGAGTGCTGATTCACTGTAAAGGGCTCCATGTCTATTGACTATAATGCTATTAGCAATGACGGCTGAACTGAGCTATTCACACATTTTCTTACCTGATTTTCTTTGTGGCCATCTCCAGGTAACAAATTTTGTCAAGGAAAATTTAATTAGCTCTAACAGGAATTTTGACCTTATTATCCTGATAAATTAGTATCTACAACTGCAAAACTAAGTACCACACAAATTATCTGACATTGTAGAACATTTTGGATTCAAAACAAACCAGTAAAATTCTATCTACCCTTACTTAGAAATTTTCAACTGAAATTCATATTCACAAAACAAACTGATCCTTAATACTATTTAAAAGTCAAATGCTCTTGCTGTTTTAATATGCCCACATGGCTCATCCAAGTGAACATATGACAGATGCTACACATCTTTCCCACATCAGACTGAAGAAAGAGAGAGCAGGAGACAGGAAAGAACAGGACCCCAATGTGACAAAATGCTAAAACCAAGCTATAAATTATCTTCTGGTCACTCTCAGCTGTATTTTGAAAAATCTGACACAAAGGTAGGACCTCCCCTTCCTTTGGAGAGATATAGAGTATTATAGAAAAGCATCTCCTAACTAGCAAAGGACTGCTGTCCCATCAATCACACAACTTCCCCAGCAAGAGAAACACTGCTGGGTGGGTTCTAAAAACAATGCCTGGGTCTTCACATTCTGATGGGAGGGAACAGTGAAGACCAGCTTCCTGGGCTCTAAACTATGCCAGACTGCCCTGCTAATCCTCCCCAAATCCCACAATGCAGGGGTGGGGGTGGGGGACAGAATTGAAAACCCCAAACTGAATCAAGGGCAACAGCTCTAGGTTACAGAAGGGCCTAATATTCCTGTTTGCAGAGGAGATGGTGGAGATGGGGAAACACATACACAAAAGCCTTTAAAAACAATATAAAAATGCATTTTATTCCTGATCCTTCGATGTGCTAACCAACATCTGCCCCCAATCATTTGCCAGCCCTGGGTGCATGGAAGGCATGGAGTAGCAGSCATTTTCACACAGTGAGGCTGGAAGAGATGCTACTAGAGTGTAAATTACTAATTAGCTCAAAAGAAGACAAAGAGAGAAAATACCTGTCACAGAATGGTGTTTACAACTTGACATATAATAAAAACAACCCTGAACATTTCAGAAGAGTGAAATTTCCAGACTTCTATTAATATGTGAATGGAAAAGGAACAGTATTATAGTCTTTAAAAACTGCCCATGTCTCAGAAACAATAACGCATGACTAGAAACAATGCTTTCCAAATAATTTGTAATTTTCTCGTCCTTATGAAAGGGAAGTGTTTTTAATTATTACAATCAGCTTTAATAAGGAGCTATATTTCATAGCTTGATAATAGCTTAAACAGGGGGAGAAAAGGAAAAGCAGCCCACAAGTATTGTATTTTACATTTGTCAGAATACTGCTAATATTCCTTTTGCTTAAATTGGACAAGCCTTTCTGTAGATCACAACTTTATCAAATAGATAGGCTATCATTTTAATTAGGATTTGTAGATGACTGGAGGTGGGTCAGTTAATTTCCTTATATGACATCAATCAAAAAGACTCAAAAATTTAGATTTTGAAGGCAGGCATGGAATGTTAAGATATTTTTATTGATCCTCTCCTTATCCATACTACCTCATCAAATACTACTATTTAGTAACCCTAATCAACATACTTAAAGCAATACATTTTGCACTTTGTTCTTTTCTAGCTCTTTGAAGCTACATAATGATCCCCTAAATACATTATTTTACCTAAATATTTTTTGGTAGTAGTATTGAGGGGCTCTGTGGCTCCTGTTTCTGAAACAATAATCACCCATTCATCATCAATAGCTCATATGGCCTAAGGACACACCATGCCTGGTGCTAGAAAGATTGTCAATAGAGGGGTACAACACAATTTGTTACTGATGGGAGAGGCCAACATATCTGTCATTCACAGGTGAAAGAATCTTTCTTTTTTTTCAGAATGTACTGAAAACAACAGACTACACAATCATAAAATCCACACTAAACCCAATCTTGACATGCCTTTGTTTTAAGTGCTTGATAAATCAAACACACACCAAACTTTCCAATATATAGTACTCAAAAAACATTCTTACTCCATTTGCACTTTCTCCAATTTTATTTGTTTAAAAGTCCTTACACAGAGAAAAATGATAAAATGAATGGGGCAAAATCACAAGTGGTAGTTTTGAGTAAAGGTATTCAGAAGTTCTTTGTATCATTTTTCCATAAGTAATAAAATTAAACTGTAATAAAATTAAGTCATTAAAAAAATAGAGTATCAACAACAGAAGCTCCCTTTCACAGGGTTGTTTCTGGTTTCAAACCACTCACATACTTAGCTAATATGACCACTCAGTAGTTCTTAGTGATTTTTAAAAATGAGTAGATTGATTTACTTAACCAAATTAAAGCATGAATAAATGTACTTAGTAGATTACATACACAGGCATACAGAAAGAGAATATAGGAAAAATTTTTAAAAAAATTTTTTTTTTAAGTTACCGAAAGGCTGGGGTTGTGGCTTAGAGGTAGGCAGCTCATCTACCATGTGTGAGGCCCTGGGTTTGATCCTTAGCACCACATAAAAATAAAATAAAGGTATTGTGTCCAACTACAACTAAAATAAAAATATTAAAAAAAATTTATCAAAAAAAAAAGCAAAAGAGAGATAGAGAATATAGCCAAAAAAAAAAAAAAAACAGGATCTAAAAAGATTTTGCTTATGTATATCTGCACTTAAATCTAAGCTCCATTTTTCCTCAAACAGCAATAGTCTTTCCACTGCAAACCAATTACAGCGTATAAGTGCAGGGCCTATTATAGCTAAAAAAGTAGGCAGAAAATACGCAATGCAGTAGGCATTTTAAAACTGATTTGGGGTTGTTTGATTTTATTTTATGTTATTTCATTTCATTCTGGACTTTGATGTCATCTATGCATTATACACAGTTCTCATGGTATTTGTCACAGGTTCCCTACTTAGAAAGTTTAAAAACAGAACCACCTTAATAATTTAAGGACTGGCAAAAAAAAGACCCATTAAGAGGTGAACAAAACCAGCACTGTTAAACCTGGAGAAGAGATGGCAAAGGATGACCACAAGTCAAGTGGCAGTAATACTGGAGCACAGACTCTGCCAGTAAAAAGCCAAGGTTGGAATCCCATCCTCACTTCTTGGTAGAATTCTATCTTTTGAACTAAAATAAAAATTAAGTGATGAAGGTATAGCTCAATGTTAAAGGGCATGCTCAGCATGTGTGAGGCCTTGGGTTCAATGCCCAGTGCCAAAAATTAAATAAAGAATAAATATGTACCATTAGGCTAATATTTGAGCAAAAAATAATAATAATAATAATCTGTTTGTACTAACAGATTTTCAACTACTGAACAAGTAGCTACAGGGAAGTCTTAGGTTAATAACCTTGGGCAAGTCATTAACTCTCAAAGATCCTCTGCTTCATCACACATAAAATGAGAACAGTAATAGTAGCTAACTCAAAGGATTGCTGTGAGGAATAAATGAATTACAACTTGCAAAGCACTTACAACAGGGTCTGGCACTAAAGCATTATGCATGTGTTAGCTATTATTATGAAGTTCAAGAAGAGTTAAAGAGCTAAAGTAATATAGTAAGCAGCCATTTTTAATTAAAAATTGAGAAAGGAGCAAAAGGAAATAAATACAAATATATTATTAACTGTGTGTTGCTTAGACAGAAGATAGACCCTCCTGATAGAAAAAAAAAATGACTAAAACCCAGAAGAAATTATCTACAAAGGTTGTCACATTACCACTGAAGATTTATAAGAAAATAGGATAAATTTTCATCTACCTGGGATGATTTAAGTGGGATATTGACTGAAGTTGCAGGATAAACTAGAGGTCCTTTCAAGGTCTCTTCCCATCCAAAGACTCTATGATTAATCAGAAAAACATTTACTTATGTACAACCTACTCAGACAAATATAAATCTAATAGTTTTTTTCTTAGAAAATAAGATTATAACCAAAATTAAGTTGAGTAGAATTCTACTTGATGAACAAAGAAAATACAGATTAAATTTATCACTGGTACCCTTATTGATTAATAGTTATTATCTGAATTAAAAGATCATCCATTCTCAGCTTGAGAAATATCAAATGAAAAATAACCATTCACAATAATAATCAGTGGTTTAGCATACCATGGTATCACACAGAAACAAAGGTAAGACACAAATGAACTCTTTCCTTTACTTGATCTTATAGTTTATATTTTATTTTTTTACCACTATCAAATGTCTCAGATAATTTATGTAAAGAAATCAAGTTTAAAATAATTACTTTATAAAAATGGCAATACCATATATAGTACCACACACTAAAACCAGCCCAAACACATCTACAAAGAAAGGAATATGCACACACACCTCACACAGGTGCCTTCTATCAAACTTATTATTCATCTTGAAAGTTAACATATTCAGACTAATTCTCTCAAAACTTAGCAGCAAAAATAGTAGTTTTTTAGAATCCCATTAAATTGCTAAGTCAATCTACTTACCTTGAACAGTTGCTTAATAGAATCCAGAAAACAAACCATGAACTAAGTACCATGCCACTAACACAGTTAAGAGCTAAATCCAGAGTTAAGATTCTAAGTTTTTCCTATATATTAATAACCAGTGTTTCTGATAGTCACAAATCAAAACCTACTCTTTGCTAACTCTCACAAATGCCACAAACCTAATTTGTGCTATTTAGACACAAAACAGTAGTAATCCAAAATTTACACAATTTTGAAATAAGACTCCCCGGCCCACCCCCAGTGCTTGGGATCAAATCCAGGGTCTCTACCACTAAGCTAGATCTCCAGCCCCTACACAACTCTGGAGAAAAATCATCTTTGGGTATCTGAATGTACACTAATGAAATAATCCCAAATAAGATTCTCTAGAACAGTTTGCATTTTTCCAATGTACATTATATACCTTGGCACCATCAAATGCAAAGTTACTTATATTCTGAGTTAAACATAAAAGCTTCAAATCATTTAAGCAAAATACTATAACCCAAATTTGTCCCAAATTTCTTATCTTCCTCTTAATTTCCAAAAGTGTCTTACAAGTCAAAACTTCTAGAAAATCAGGCAGTGGAGCTATCCAAGGCATCAGTTTGTAGTATTATCTTGCAGAGATTTTTTTTGTATAAAAATTACTCATAAATTCATTGTTTAACATAAAAGATAATTCCACTACTCTAAAATCCTCCACAACTCTGCAATTCTCCTTTCCTTTCATTTAGTGAAACCAGTGTACCAGAGTATGAAATGTCTCACACAGAGCTAAAGGCAGCTTAGGCACTCAATGCCCTCAAAGCCCTGGTTTAAATCTCCTTCCCAGTAAACTTCCTAGGTTGATTATCTGCCTCTCTATGAAATGATTTCTCAATATTCTCCAGTCACTGAAAACAAGCAGAAACCAGATTGATTACTGGAAAACAAAAAGATTCTCATGTTTCTCTATTCCAACAATAGTGCATTCTCCAGTGAAAACGGAAATGCTGGCGATAAAGCACCCTGCCCAGCACTTGTCAGGTACAACATTGCTACAACACCAAAACTATCACATTTCACAGGCACATTGTAAATAAACACAACCTATCCTCCCATTATCACAGCATTAGTGAAATGCAAAGATTTTCTGTATCCAAAGTTGACACTTTATCCTTCACACAAGAAGAARATCAAATCAAAATGGGTCTCATCTTTTTCAAAGTGGACCTGAAAGTTGAATTAAAAGCAATGAAAGGTGGAAGTGGATTCAAAATTCCTTTAAGAGAGAAAGAGGTTTCTGGAATTTCCTACTTTTAAGGACAAAAGGACTCACACTTTCAACACACACTTCTCAATACAGAATTCCTTTCCTGCACCCCCTACCTTTAGCCCTTTTCAGTTTTTATCTCTAGGTCCCCTTTCACTCACCATGGTTTCTCCTCTTCTGCACCCAAGGGCCCCTACACTGGATCCTTCACCACAGAATTTGTGCCCTGACCCTAGCAGACCTTCTGAAGCATCTCCCGGGTCCAGATACATTCAATTCCCTCCCATCGCAATCTACCCCCGTTGTACATCCATCTACACTCCCCCAGCTTCGTTTAACCCGGTTCTCTTTCCTTAATCCCTATTCTATTCTTTAAATCCTGGGGCCCATCTCTTTCTTACTGCTCTCACCGTCTGCTTTTAGTCCTGTCTCTTCACCGCATTGTTTTTACCTTGGATCTTGCTGAACCTCTTCAATTAACACAATTCCTCGGCTATCCTGTCCCGGATCACCATCACTTCTTAAACCCTTACTCTAGTCTCCTTTCAGTTTTTCTGGTCCTTTGGAATTGCCCTATAAACGCCCATCTCTCATCTTTCCTTTCACCCTTCTAGTGGGCTTATTCCCGACTCCACCTGGTTCTAGTCCAGGGTATGATTAGCTGCCCCTCGCTTTCCAGAATTCACACCCATCTCCCACCGACTAACCTTACCTTTCTTAGAACGCGCCAGTCATTCCCACCCCACCGTGGGTCCTAGCCCTTCAGCTCATCTCGCTCTGCACTAGTTCACACCCTTGTCACGTCTGGCTCTTATTCACTCTCTCTCTCCCATACTCCCAACTATTACCCCAGCTCTGCCCCTCCTTGTCTTCCACTTCCAACTCTTACCCCTGGACCCCTCACCCCAATACCACCCCCTCAAAGCCTTCCCCTTCAGACTCCCGATCTTGCTCCTAACCTCAGAATCCCTCTTGCCAGCCCTGGTCTCCTAACCTCATTCCCGGTCCGGCTTCCTCAACGCCCACCCTGGCTTTTGCCTCCTTCCTACCTCCTTGCCTGGCTTTTTTCACTCCTCCTCTCCCTGGCTTCTAACCCTTTCTCCTCTTAATCTTCCTCATCTCATTCTCAGCCCGGTCGCCCCGGCCGCCCCCGAACCTTGCTTCACCTCTCCCCTTCAGGCTTTTAACCCAAACCCAGTGGTCGCCCACCCCGCCAAAATAAAGCGCCCGCGCGCCCCGGCTCCAGCTCTCGCCTCCCACCGGCCCCCGCCCCGGGCGCCCCCGGACCGCCGGCGCCGCTGTCCCGCCCCCTGTCGCCGCTCCTCCCGCCCGCGAGGCGCACGCCGCCTTTGTCGCCCCTCACCCGGTGTGTGAGGATTTTGCTTCTTTAAGGGGGAGGGCTAGTGTGCCGGAGACTGCTGTCCCCGCCTCCGAGTCCCAGAGTGGGCTCCCTGACCGTCGCGGCCTCCACGGCCCCCGTCCCCCACCCCCTGGAGCTACCCCCTTTGCTGCCTCCCCACCTCCTCCGCCCCCTCCCCGGCCCCCCTCTATTTACCGCCATCATCAGCACGCGCGAGCTGTCACCAGGGCGCGAGACAACCGAACTCGGCCCCGCCCCCTGTCCGCCCATTGGCCCGCCCGCCGGAGCCCCGCCCCTGAGCCCCGCAATGCGCCAACGGCGCAGCATTGGGCCGCGACCCAGGCACCGGCACCCTCTCTGCAGGTTCCTGCCGGCGGCGTAAAGTTTAGGGTCAGCCACAAACGCGCGGCCGACAAGCCTGGCGTAAGGGGCGGCGGCGTAGAAGAGCGCTGTGAATCGCCGGTCGAAGTTTGGTTGAAGCACAGGAGGGTAAATAAGAAGGTTTCCAGACAAAGAGACTCTTAAAGGTACAGAGTCTACTGTCCGTCCCTCCTCCTTAAAGGGCCAGAGATTCTCCCAAGCCCTTCTCCGCCCCCTTCTCCCCAGCCTTGCATCCCGGGGAACAGTAAAGGAATTTTACGTAGAGTTAGTTCCCCATACTCTTTTCGGCTGCCCTTTAACATCTCTTCCCCACTGCAGAGGCAAAGCCTTTCTTTATATCCAGTCTTTGCGTTTTTTGTTTTGTTATCTTTTAACTGTGCCCTTCCTAAAGAAGCAGCAGCCTGCGAACCGTGGGGTTTCCGGAGGCAGCTTTTGCAAAAGTTACTATTGGTTCCCAGACGAGCGAGCACGTGTCTTTGACTTTTGCCACTGATGACCCAGGCGGGATTCAGCTGTTTTACGGAAATACCCCCAAGGAAGACGCCCGCCAACCTGAACACCCTGGTAGAAATTAAGCAGATCCAGATAGAGATAGTTGTGGCCCTGCTGGGCGCGATGACTCACGCCTGTAATCCTAGCTTAGGGAGGCTGAAGCAGGAGGATCGCAAGTTCAAGGCCATTCTAAGCAATTCTGTAAGGCCCTAAGCAACTTAGCGAGACCCTGTTTCAAAATTTAAAAAAAAAAAAAAAGTTAAAAAAGCTGGGTTTGTGGCTCGGTGTTTAGGCGCCCCTGGGTTCAATCCCCAGTACAAAAACGTGGCGGGAGTGGAGGGGCGTTGCGGCTTTATGGACTTAGGAATGGGGATGGAGACCATGGGAAAAGAGCGGTCAGTTCTATAAAAGGCGCCCTTCCTGCGCAGTCTCCTGGGCACATTGTCCTGACATAATTTACCCGGGCGGGGCGGGGAGGGGATGAAGTGGTGTCACATAAAATGAGACCAACAGTGTTACAATACCCAAGACAGGGCTAAGGCAGCAAAGACTTACTAGAAAGGCAAGTACACATTATTAGCCACAGTGGTTCAAGGTTTCACATCTATAAATATGACACGGAAGCGAAAAAACTGAAAAGGAAAAGAAAAAAAAGAAGGGAAAACTACAATATCTGAAACCAAGTGCAGCTAACTGAAAGGATTTTCAAAGGTGAGTAAACTTGGGCATTTTGAAGAGGTTTGTCAGTTGAGGATGTGAAATGGTTTGGTTTGGTGGGTGTTTGTCATGTGATTCAAAAGCTCAGAATCACAAGGTAGCACTTCTTTTATTGTCTACTGCCTTTTAACACTTATCTTTAAGGAATTCCTACGTTATAACTTCTTCATCGTGTTTTCTCCTGACTTCCTCGATCCAAGAAAACTCTTAGAGAAGATTTTCACTCAGTATGTTAGTTCCCTAACAAGATACTTTTTTGAAATAATTTGGGACCACTTTTAACTTCTGATGGAAGGAGTACTCTCACAATAGCATTTTGGGGGAACACGGTCTTCAGGGCTGTGAGCATGCAGTAGATCACTGGGTCTAAAGCTGGCCTGGTAAACACAAGGGATCCCTGAGATCCTTTTAGTGGGTCCCTGAGATCAAAACTATTTTCATAATAGTAAGAAGTATAGGCCTTTTTCCCTGGGATGACCCTGGCATTGATAATACACAGAAGTAACAATGGGTAAAAATCCTGCTGCCTAGAGGATCCCAAGTTCCAGGCCTCAGAAACTTGGCAAGGCCCTGTCTTTAAAAAAAAAAAAAAAAAAAAGGACTGCTCTGGGTGAGCACCCCTGATGAGTTCAATCTCCAGTGCTGAGGGAAAAAAAAAGGGGGGGGGGCTTACAGATTAAACTATTCATTTAACTATTTAGTTATTCACTGGGTATTTGACAGACATTTTCTTCTAGATAAAGCTAAGACTAATAACAGTGTCTGCAATAATAAAACTCAAGATTTCAAGCAAAATTTAGGAATTTTTAATATATATGTTTTAGTTGTAGATGGACATAATATCTTTATTTTATTTATACGTAATGCTGAGGATCAAGCCCAGTGCCTCACATGTACCAGGCAAGCACTCTACCACTGAGCTACAACCCCAGCCCCAAATTTAGGATTTTTTAAAACTCAAATCTGCAACCATAAGTTTGATAGCTTCCCAAGACTTTCCTAATAAGACAGGTAGTGATGTTAATGATTGTGATTTTTGACACTGCTTAAAGAAATGTGTCAACATTTAGATCTGCAGTTTTCCCCAAATGACCTACATATGATGCTAAGAAATCACACATAAGTAAAAAATCCATTCAAAGTGTAAATTTAACCAATGAATATTAATAGAGAAGGAAAAGCTTGATTTTACATTGCAACTACGCTTTAGCAGATGTAGTATCAAAGAATTTCTGAAAAAAATTATTAATTTATACCTCCCTTTTCTCAAATATACATTTGTGTGAGGTCATTTTCTTCATATTCTTCAACCAAAACAGATAAGAGAATCCACCTATCTTCTAGCATGCCACACATTCACAACAGATTTTCAAAAATATAGAATAATAAACTCTTCATTAAAGTTTGGACAAATAGTAAAGTTTCATTAAAAATATATTAACGAGATGGATTTGTTGATACCTTTAAATGATAAACATTTTAATTTTTTATATGTTTTTAATAAGGTAAACATTAATAGATATAACCTACATAAACAACACCTTTTAAGAACATTAAGAAGCCTGAGACTGATAAGTTTGAGAATCATAAATTAGATGGCAGATATAATAGAAAGAAGCTACTTTAATTCAAATCTGAAAGCACTATTTGGGATACCTGACAAAAAGTTTTAATGGAGGGGCTGGGGATGTGGCTCAAGCGGTAGCGCGCTCGCCTGGCATGCGTGCGGCCCGGGTTCGATCCTCAGCACCACATACCAACAAAGATGTTGTGTCCGCTGAGAACTAAAAAATAAATATTAAAAAAAATTCTCTCTCTCTCTCTCTCTCTCTCTCTCTCTCTCTCTCTCTCTCTCTCTCTCTCTCTCTCTCTCTCTCTCTCTCTCTCTCTCTCTCTCTCTCTCTCTCTCTCTCTCTCTCTTTCTCTCTCTCTCTCCTCTCTCACTCTCTCTTTATAAAAAAAAAAAAAAGAGTTTTAATGGAGCTTCAGAGTTAATGAGGAATCAGAATCATGAATGCTAGACTTTCTTTAAAGACACAACTGGTTAACAACATAATCATAATACACATGGCACTGAAAAGACAGGCAGAACTAAGCTTAAGCACTGAAAATATAGTTATTTTTATCCTACATTTTTTTTAAGCCCAGCCTGTTTTCCTGCAGGATATAGAACAAGTAAGACCTCATCACTATGAATAACTATTAAAAACATATTTCCAAGCCAGTGGTGCACACCTGTAAGGCCAGTGACTCAGGAGGCTGAAGAAGGAGGATCATAAATTTGAGGCCAGCCTCATCAATTTAGTGAAAAACTCAACAACTTAGTGAGACCTTTCTTAAAATAAAAAGAGACTAGGGATGAGCTCAGTGGTAAAGCACTCCTGGTTTAATCCCTGGAACAACAAAAAAAGACCATATTCCAGAGACAGTCTAAACAACTGCTTGATCTAATTACAAAAAATACACCTACAACAAATACTTTCTCTGGACATTCATTCTGTATTTCAAAAGCACTGTTTGTGTTAAGGGCAAATTATACCCAGCAATGACCCCATAATCTCCCACCTTAAACATCCCAACCAAACACAAACATCAGCAGCAGCATTGAGAAGACAATTCCCCAAAACTGAAGATACACATGATTCTATGTCTGACATCCACAGAGCTGAAAACCTGCAGTTTCCTTAAGAACCTGTTTAGCCAGGTACAGTGGCACCAGCCAGTAGTCTTAGACTGAGGACTAGGCTAGAGATTGAGGCCAGAGGATGGCTTGAGCCTCAGGGATCAAGGCCAGCCTGGGCAACATAGTGAGATCCTGTCTTTAAAAAATGTGCTTAGCAAAAAAAAGGGAAGGCAAAAAAAAAAAAAAAGTGCTTAGCATACACAAGGCCCTGGGTTTGATCCACAACACAAACAAAAAAGAACCCCAGCTTTAGTGTCATAGTCCTCTGTATTCCAACAAGAACTAATAAATGACCTCAGTAAACATAATCTATTCACCACCACCTGGGAGGGAAAAGACAAATATGTTTTGTTCTGTCTCAGAATAAAAGAGAAAAGAATTAAATACACAGGGAAAGGATTTCCCTAGACAAGGCCAACCCCAGGTAGCCTGACTTCTGGGAGGCTTGGTGTAAGGAAGATTTGAGCATTGTAACAAGTGACTTGGGAGTGCTCTACACAATGGCAGAAACTCACCTCGGGGGAAGCCCAACCCCAAAAGTGAGGGCACACAGGCCAAAGATACCAAACCCTCAGGAGAGGCCTCAATTTGTAATACAACAGGTCAAAGCCATTCATGCAACAGTGACTGGGGACTATAGCCCCCAGACCCAGCCTCCACAGATGTGGAGAGGGGGCTTTTGGCAAGAAAAAAGCATTGGTGGGTGTTAGAGGTATGGGCTTAGAGGGAGAGAGACCAAACGACCACCTGCCTGGTTCAACATCTACTATGACTGATCTTGAAATGTCCGGCCCCATGGCCTATTACATACTGTACTTGTATTTTAAGAGTCTCAACTTTTGACACCTGAAACACATGCTTGAGGGAACTTTTTAACTACTTTCCTGCTCTCCGGGATTTAAAGAACAAAACTTCACTAACTGCCTCCCCAGAAGCCTCAGGACACTGGATCAAGGTAGATCTGGTGCCAAGGAGGAATGGTCAGCCTCTAGGTAATTCTGTCAGCAGAAAAGAAACTCCAATAAATGATCATGAGGAGAAGGGAGATGTGATTGCTTGGCACTCAAATATCAGAGGAAAGCCAGCAGGAGGCAGTGTGGGGACAGGAGTTGAGAATCATCAGGATGAGAGAACAAGAAAGCAACAGCCAGAGCAGGAACCATCAATGGATGGAGGAAACAAGCTAGACAGAGTCAGAATAAATAAGAGGCTTCCCTCCCAGCATGTGCCTCTGCCACTATAGATTTTGCCACTGCCGTGTATCATCTGTACTAGAACTTAATAGATCATTTATTTATTCATTTGTTTTTTGTAGTGTTGGCAATTGAGCATAGGATGTCAGGCATACTAAGCAAGTGCTGTACCACTAAGCTATAGCCCCAGACTTCTTTAAAAACTTTAAAAATTTATTTTCAGATAGCCTCACTAACTTGCCAGAGCTGGCCTCAAAGTTGGGATCTTCCTGCCTTGGCMACCCAAGTATCTGGGATTACAGGCGTGCACCACCACAGACGAGAGATCCCTTTAAAAACACTTACCCAAATCCTAAAAAATAAAGTGGTAGTTATAATTTTCTCTTCATATACATTAGAATAAGACATAAGTCCTAGTATAAAATATTTCCCACATTCCACCTAAAATCACCTAGCATCCCAAGAGGCACAGACGGCACACTTTGGCACATGCTGGAAGCCAGGAGTCCTGAGCCTGAAGTTTGATCCTGACGCCACCTTCATGTCTCTGCATGGCCTCTAGGGGAGCCACAGCCTCCCCACACTAAGGTAAGGGAGAACAAACAAGTTGAGCTGAAAAGCTGCCCTGCTCAGCTCTGACAGTCAAAGATGGCAGATTTCCATGCAGCTCTGGCAGAAGCACTCACAAAGGTGACATGTTGACAAGACTAAGTTTCCTAGTTCTTTTAGGGGTCATACTCAGGAAATGGTTAAAGTAAAGCAGAGGAAAGAGGGGTGCGAAGATAATCTAGTGTAGAAGGAAGACGTCAGATTTGAACTCCCAAATATGGCATCTCCCTTTACTTTCATTTATAAAGTGGGGATAATTATGTGTTTTCCTCCATAAAATTTATCAAAATAGTCTCAAACTTTCATCCAACCTAACCTTTCAAAAATTGAACACTGGCAAGTACATTCTAAATTAATCTAAAAGCCCCATCCATATTTGCAAATATAGATTGACATCTGGGCGCTTCCTACAACTCACAAATTCAGTATTGATGACTTTGTTCGTGGAGTCATATTTGTTATGATATTTAAGAAATATATTGCATTACCTGCTTATTTTAGTGGTGAATTTCCTTTCACTGATACAAAAGACAAAGATGGACACAAGTGTCCAGTGGCAGTTCTTAAAGCTTGATCTGGTATTCACAGGACTTAAAGCTGGTCAAGTGTGTGCTCAACAACAAGGGGAAAAAACACAACAGTAGAATGTTAGATCTGTAAAAGCCAAAACTAGGCAGTGTAAGTATAAGAAGGGATTTTATTCTATTTTTTAGCTTCAGGGAACCAAGCCCCTTCTTATACAGCATGTGTAGGGTCCACATTTCTCACACTCAACTTCTGTATTCTCAGGAACACATGCATTCAAAATCCTGCCTGTACATTGTCTCATTTCATATGAGAGTTGAGGCAGCTACATTTCTAGCTTCACAGCACATGTACATTTCTAGCTACATTTCTAGCTTCACAGCACCTGTTTCCTACTTCTTTCTCCTTACAGTTGCCAGTGATTTTCCCCTCCCATCTCTCCAGTGAACATTAGGAGAGAGAATGAGAAAACCTGAGGTGTTCATTAGCCTTTGGCCCCTCTATGTTGGCTGGGAAAGTCTTTCTCAGTAGAGCTGGGCCTGGGGGGACAGGAAGTGGATGAGAGGTAAGTAGAAGGCAGTCAACACATGAGTCTCCTCAATAGCAAACATGGCTCCCAAGGTAACCCAGATCCAGACAAAAGCAAATATAAACCAGAAAGCCAAAAACATAAAATCTATACATTTTATTGCATGTAAATTATACCTAAAACATACCTTAAAATTTTAAAAGCAAAAAAAAAATAAATGGGGACAACAACAAAAACAGGAAGTGAATACAAAAAAATATAAATGACAACCCTATAGCTAGATAGCTGAACTGAGCTTCCTTTCAGTCAAAACTACAGGGAAACAGGACTGGTAACCTGACTCCTATTGTGGAAATATACCATAGAAAAAGTTTTTCTTTAGTGCCTTCAGGGAGGGACAGTATCCTTGTAACAACCTATACTGCATATATTAACAGTTTTCCTAAGACCAGATCTATGTATGTATCACAAAGTAGCCTGGTTGAGCTTTTTTTTTTTTTTTTCCTATGATACTAGAAATCAAACCCAGAGGTACTTTATCACTAAGCTACTATCCTAGTCCTTTTTTATTTTTTAAGACAGAGTTTCACTATATCACCCAGGCTAACCTCAAACTTGCAATCTTCCTGCCTCAGCCTCTCAAGCTGCCAAGATACTAGGCGTGTGTCAGCATGCCCAGCCTGGCTGAATATTTCTCTAGCAGGAGTCGGGTAGGCAAGCAGTTTAAGTCAAATGAGCAGCTTGGGGCTGAAATGAGGCAAGGACAAAGACTTCAGGGAACCGTGAAGCATGCTGCAAATATCATGGTCAATACTAACCTCTGAGTGCTAGAGAGGTGCACAGCTAACTTCCAATAAACCCCGAGAGGCTATGGGATCAGTCATTATTCCAATCCAACTCATAAGGCAGATGCCTTTGTTACAGGGCGTAATAATCAAGAAATAGCTGCCAAGAGCATTCCTGACATGTTCATTGAGCTTCACGTAGCAGAAACCACTAAACGGGCCCCATCATCCCTATCCCCTTCACCTTTTAGTCACAGAACCCTCTGAGCTGTAACTGGGCCATGACTGCCCAGATAAAAGGCTCTATATCCTAGCAGCCCTTTTAGCAAAGTGTAGCCACAGTGATCTGAGCAATTCCAGACCATAACCTTTAAAAAAGAAACTGCTTTTCTCTTCATCCTTCCCCATCCTTCCAGTGGACATGGGGCCAGTGAGTTTGCTTAAGGATAATATTCTGGGTGTGGCTGAAAAATAAGACATAAGAAAACAAGAGTTCCTGGTGACTTTGTAGAGTTAGATCTGCCCAACCACCTGATTATCTCTGAAACTATTAGATAATACAAAAATAGGATTCTATCTCGTAAGAACCCATCCTTCTGGTTCTGCACAGTAGTGAATTCTGTTGCATCATGTAATCCACAATGGAAGGGAAAGATGTAAGAGGAGAGTTCAAAGAACCCAGGCAATGCCCTAGGAAAGCCATGTCACAAGTCACTTCCATGAACAGGTCAAAAAACGAGAGCCATCCTACCAGCTGTGCTGTCCCTCCACTAGAGCAGAGGGGAGGGGGTTTCAGGACAGCACAGCCCAACATGAAGCACAACATAGCCACTTGGGCCCCGGTCAAATCCTCAACAGCTGAAGGTACACATTGTTTTTCCCTCCAACACTAGGCAGGGACACCCTGTCCTACCTTTTCCCCTATAGCAGGAAAGGTCCAAACTTCTCCATTCTTCATAATTACCATTCTTGAGGACAGAACAAATCCAGCAAGGCGTTGGGTAAGGCAGCTGTTGAGGGCTGCATATGGGGGTCAAGGGAGGGGCGTCCAGAGCCCCAGACAAAAGCCACAGCTGGGAACCAGAGGGAGAGAAGCTTCCATGTCTGCCCTGGGTTTCTAGGGTCCAGATCCTTGAGAATACAGCCCTTGCTCCTGCTGTGCAGTACACATGGTGACAACTCAGCCAGCAATAGCCAGTCACTAACGAATTCCTGCCACCGGCACCTGCTGCTGCTTGCGGATCTTGTTGAAGAGTTCCATGTACTGGACCATGGTATCTGCGGGGCCATAGACCACATCATGTCTGTTTCCAAACACTGCAGGAGCCCCTGGCGTGTGGCTGCCTAGAAAGCTCTGGAGGAACTCGAGGAGCAGGTTCCAGCAGTCACTAGCCACCACACAGGGGCCATATTCCACCTGGGATGAAAAGAGCAGAGTGAGGATGAGTGGGGGCAAGGACAAGGTCTGCTTCCCTCATGCCTCCTGTTCCCTCCTACCATCTTCACCAACCCTAAGCCAAGGGCACAACTTCTAGCACAGTACTGTCCACTCACCCCAAACAAGGGCTTCTACGCACTCAGCAGCATTCCCATTAGGAGTTACTCACATTCTCATTCTGGAGTTGTGAGAACCCACAGCCCTGCCCACAAGCAGGGAATATTTTAATTATCTCAGGTTTGTGAAGTCCCTGCTATGTTAAGTGATGATTCAAGGAAATCTCAGGAAAATTCTGAGACAACATAGAAAAAAAATGTGGGGGGACAGGAAGTGGATGAGAGGTAAGTAGAAGGCAGTCAACACATGAGTCTCCTCAATAGCAAACATGGCTCCCAAGGTAACCCAGGCCCAGCTCTACTGAGAAAGACTTTCCCAGCCAACATAGAGGGGCCAAAGGCTAATAAACACCTCAGGTTTTCTCATTCTCTCTCCTAATGTTCACTGGAGAGATGGGAGGGGAAAATCACTGGCAACTGTAAGGAGAAAGAAGTAAGGAAACAGGTGGATGTACATGTGCTGTGAAGCTAGAAATGTGGAGGATAACCAGTCTCGTGCGTCTCAGCAAGTCAAAGTCTGTCACAAACTGAGCAGGGTGGAGAAATCTTGGCCCTAAAAGTTCCTAAGCAGAAACTACCACTCCAGGGGCTTTTTCTGCACCTGGGATGATGCCTAGACTCACCTGACCCCAGATCTGGACATATTCAGTCCCTACTTACAAGCTGCTCCTCCAGGCAGCATCATGACCACAGTAGGCAGGGTTCTCACTAGCTTGAGTTCCCAAAGTACATGGTGCCTTTTAGATGGCATTTCTTAAGTCTATTTTCAAAAACAGCTTGTATATTTAGCCTTGCTCTCTTAAAATGATAGTTTTGAAAGACAGGCCCAGTAAGCTTGTTTTTTTAAAATCTCATACAGCACTGGGCACACGGTAAGTTGTGGACTTTCACTGTTCCCAGAGCCAGCTATCGCCACACTTTCTCTTTGCCATTTCTAATATTTTGGCTCAAAAATGAAATCATGGGGCTAGGGTTGTGGCTAGGTGGCAGAGCGCTTGCCTCGCACATGTGACACACCGAGTTTGATCCTCAGCACCACATAAAAAGTAAATAAATAAACAAAATAAAGACCAATTGTATCCATATATAACTTTAAAAAAAGAATTAGAAGAAGTCATCTCACAAATGTACCTTTTTCTACCATGAAAAAAACAGACAGGGGGCTAGAATTGTGGCTCAGTGGTAGAGTGCTTGCCTAGCATACACAAGGCACAGGGTTCGATCCTCAGCACCACATAAATGTAAAAGAAAGATATTGTGTCCACCCAAAACTTAAGAATAAATATATTTAAAAAAAAAACAGAATGCCAAAAGGAAAGGTACATTTTTACTTCAAGACTTTGGAGTCTTTTCTCAAAGCATACTAAGGAGAGGTGTGTGTACGCATGTGATTGAGGCCCACATCCCAAAAGTTGTTCTGAATGTTACACTGGTCTGTCCCAGTCCTTCATGAGAGAGGTGTTGCTCTCTCCACATCAAAACTCGATTGCCAGGGCCAGGTTGTGGCTCAGTGGTAGAGCGCTCACCTAGCACATGCGAGGCGCTGGGTTCAACCCTCAGCACCACATAAAAATAAATAAAACAAATGTATTGTGTCCAATTACAACTAAAAAAATATTTTTTAAAAAAAGGTTTTAAAAAAAAGCTTACCTGCCTCCCTCAACCATTCCTTTCCTTCTCTAGAAAGTCAGCCTGTCCATGGCAACCTGCTATCAGGTCCCCTCTTGCCCCTGTGAGAGTTCTGTTCAGTTCTTCACACTTGAACAAATCCTACTGCTGAGGGCCATAGCCCAGTAGGAATGACACATGGCATTTTTGGTTGAAAGGTGATGCCAGCTAGCCATTGAGATGATAATGATTATGTTAAGATGTGCATTCAATTGGATATTAGAACCCTGCTGTCTGACTCCACCTGCTACTTTGGAGCTCTCCCAGGGACTCCCGGAGAGTTCCCATTGGTTGGGGAAGTGCAGTAGGAGGGAGGATTTCCTGTTGGTGTGGTGTGTCCCCGGGAGAAGGGGAGAAGGGGAGAAGGCCGGCGTGCAAGGTGTTCTCGGGAGTTTTGGAAATAAAGTTTGTTCCTGCTTGAGTGGCTCGTGATTTTTGCCCAGCCAGACTGCGGCATCCTACACCTGAATTTTTAAAAAAGTCGGCCTGTCTAAGCTTACTATTTGCTGTAAAGCTGCTTTTCACTTCCTCTCTGGGCTAGCAATTAAATGAATGATTGAAGAAAGGATAAGAGGCCAGGTGTGGTGCCTATGATCCCAGTGACAAAGGAAGTAGAAGCAGGAGGATACCAAGTCCAAGGCCAGCCTAGGCAATTTAATGAGACCTTGTCTCAAAAAATTAAAAAAAACTCAATAGTAGAGCACCACTGGTTCAATCCCCAGGACTGCAGCAGGCACTGGAGCCTGTTCGAATTGAGCAAGGCTGGGTTACTTTGAGAGCCTTTTGCTAAGCAGCACCCCCAGTACCTCCTGCTTCTAGTTCCCCAAGGTCTTACCTCCACAGAGATGCCCCGGGCACTGGGCCCCATTGTGACCGTGCCCACCTTCACCAGGAAGTCACAGTACTGGTAACGGGTGCCCCGGGTCTCAATCTTGCTGGCCTTGGCACTCTGGAAAAAACCCTTGAGCTTCACCATGAGCACATCAAAGTTGGTGTCAGCAATAAGGCAAGGGCCATTCTCAAAGAGGGCAAAACAGCTCAGTGGATACTCGGAGTTGTGCATCACATACATCAGCTTCCCGGCCTGACCTGTAAGAGACAGACATCCTACTCATCATCAGGACTTGCACTGGCACACCCCAGCATGGTCAGGTACATGGGAAAAGGCCAGACAGCAATCTGGCGCTACTCTGGCAGTCTGAGACGGGAAGGGAGTTCCCTGACAGATTTTTCCATAGAGGGAAGCAGAGGAACAAAAGGCCAGGCACCATGGGCTACAGCCCACCCCTTTCTACAGAAGAGAGTAAGGGACACAAAGGGAGCTCTGGGAGTGTTAATAGTTTAAATGTTAAGGTGCATGGTGAGCTCACAGATGGATGCTTAATTATGGTGACTAATTCAGCAGAAACTTCACACAATCTTTTGTATATTATGATTACACTATATAATAAGCAAAATAAACAACATTGAGGAATGTCAAATGAAGCAACTACTCATTTCTTCTGTCCCTTAACTACCTTGACTTTTTCCCCCTTTGACATCAAGAAAATAGGTCCAAAGAAACAGGAAAAAGAAGTGAGTACAAGGCTGGAAAGGTAGCCCAGAGACAAGCTGTGATCAGTCTTGCCTGCCATGCCTCAAGAACCTGGGACTTCATCCTGAAGGCAAGGGTGAGCCCTTAGAGAATTTTAAGAAGTCTAGCTAACTTAGGAAGCAAGCATCCCATTATAGCATAGAGAATTCAGGGTCTGGGCTCAGAAGATCTAGTTTAAAACCCTAGCTCATCCCTTCTAGTCTCTGAGAAATGAGTTTTCTGTCTCTTTTTTTTTGGTCCTGGGGATTGAACTCAGGGACACTCAACCACTGAGCCATATTCCTAGCCCTATTTTGTATTTTATTTTAGAAACGGGGTCTCACTGAGTTGCTTAGTGCCTCGCTTTTGCTGAGGCTGGCTTTGAACTCGTGATCCTTCTTCCGCCTCAGCCTCCTTAGCCGCTAGTACTACAAGCGTGAGCCACTACAACTGGCAAGTTTTCTTTTTAAATGAATTTCTTAGGTTTGCTGCAAGGAGGGAAAACTACATTTATTTGGTTAAGTAGAAAATGGAGGAAGGCAAAAAGGGGAAGGCAAGATTCCTCTTTAATACACCATAAGAGTTAATGGACACACTGAGTAGAGGACTTAGCCCCTGACTTTCAAGAAGCTGACAATCTCACAAGGAAGACAGGTAGAAAATTATAAAAAGAAGATTGAAGACAACAAAATAAAACAAAAGGATAATCTGGCTTTTGGAAGGGAGGAATAACTTTAGGAAGAGATCAAAGTGGGAAAGAGCCCCCCAACACACACACACACACACACACACACACACACACACACACACTCTTTAAAGAAGGATTTGAAGTGTTTTAAATGAAAAAAGCATGAGATTCTGCCCCAAAGAGCATGAAGAGGACATGTTAGACAAGGATTAGAGTGCAGCAATGGAAAGGGAGAAGATGGCAGGCAGGCCAAGGAGAACAGGGGCCAGTGTGACTTCCCTGTACTACATAGGCCTCCACTCTACTGCCACCTCCTGAGCACAGCAGGCTCTGCAGAGAACCTCCACCCCATATTCCTCCTGCCCACTAGCTGCCAATTCACACAGTTTTAAAACCATTCAAAACATCTTAACTAGGCAGCTGGAGATGTAACTCAGTGGCAGAGTGCTGGCCACCCCTGCAGAAGGCCCTTGGATTCCATCCCCAGCACAGCAAAAAATACCCTCTATAGAAAAGCCATCCAAAGCTGCTCTTCTTATTCTCTTCTCATGAACTCACTGTAATTACACATTTAATTCATACTAAATGAGTCTACACGTGTTGTTACTGTCTTAGAAATATTTTTAAAGCATCTAAGGAGGCTGGGCGCAGCGGTGCACACCTATAATCCCAGCAGCTCAAGAAGGCTGAGGCAGGAGGATCACAAATTCAATGCCTTCCCCCAACAGATGAGTCCTGCTCTAACAGGTTTGCCTGTTCTTCAAAGAATGCGGTACACAGACTACCCTGCAGCCTTATTTCTCTCATGGACACGATTCCCAAGCCATCATGCTGCCTTAGAACTCAAGTAACACAACACCAAATCTTCCTGCTGCTTTTTCTAATGGATACAATACGCAGACCACCCCATGTCCTTATCCCTCCAAAGCCACATGGGCCATCCGGCTGCCATTTTTCTCCAAAGGACTCTTTCCTGCCTCCTTTTGCTCTGGCCCTGGCCTTGGCCTTTTCCTGCCCCCACTGTGACTGGGCATAATCTCGGCCACACACACAGGTGTGCAGAGGCCTGCAGCAGCACGTGCTGGACCACGTGTCATTCCTCCACCCACCTGGTCTTCCCTGTGCCGCCCTGGGCTGTGCCCTCTCCTCTGCCAGCCACCCCATAGGAAGCTGGCATTGGTCACACTGGTTCTCTGGGGGTCCATAGAGGGCTCCCTGGGGCTCAGCTTTTATTCCTCTGCTTTTCCCGCCTTTGGAGGTTTTGTTCCTTTTATTTACCCTGTAAATTAATGTTCGTTGAGCAACCATAGGGGTCAGCACTGTGTTGGATGCTGAGGGCCCTGCGTGGGAGGCTGAGTCCTTCCTGCAGGATGTCTTCCTCCTGCTGGGAAACAGACACTCACTGTGCTGTGGCCTGCTACTCCTGCCCTGCTCCCTGCTGTGTCCTCTGTGCCCACAGCTTCTGAGATACCTCACCCCCATCCCATCTGTGTCCCTCACCCAGAGCCTGGGGTGGGGGCAGAACCCTGGAGGGAGAGAGAGACGCTCCCCTTGCCACACTGGAGAAGCTGGTGGTTTTGGGGGGTTTTCCCAGGTGCAAACTGCAGGCAAGAGGCTGAGGCCTCTGGACCTTGGGTAGCAGCCTCACAGGCAAAGTGGGGGACCTCTTCTCACTGACTGGAGCCCAGGGAAAGAAGGGACTGCTTCCTCATCACGGTGCCATTCTGAAGACAGTGCAGACACCTCTTGGCTCGTCTCTGGCCAGCCCCTGGCCTGCAGTAGAGTAGAGCTTCACATGTTCTGGTCCTCCTGATACCATTTCTCCTTACCTTGGGAATGGAAGACGCGAGGATTTCTAATTTAAATGTGGGACTCTGTAAACTGGGGGTGTTTATTTGGGAAAATGACCAAGGCATTTATTTGGGAAAAATAAATGCCTTGGTCAAAAGCCAATCAATCAATCAATCAACCAATCAATGAAAGGTATTGTGTCCATCTACAACTAAAAAAAATAAAATAAAATACTTAAAAAATGTTTTTAAAAAAAAGGCTAGGAATATTAACTCAGTGGTAGAATGTGCCTGAGTTCAATCCTCAGTACCATAAAATAAATAAATAATATTAAATTTTTAAAAAATTTTGTAGTCATAGATGGACAGAATGCCTATATTTTATTTGTTTATTTTTATGTGGTGCTAAGGATCAAACAAAGTGCCTCACACATGTTAGGCAAATGCTCTGCCACTGAGTGACAGCCGCAGCCCCAATAAAATTAAATTTTAAAAAGGGTTAGGGATATAGTTCAGTATAGAACACTTGCCTAACATGCTGGAAGCCCTAATTACAAACCCCACGACTGAAAAAGAGAAGAAGCCAGTTTCCACCCACCAAGCACTTCCATCTCACTAACCTTGGCTGCCAAGGGTAGAGGCGGCAGTGTGGTAAGTCTCACAGTCCACACAAAATGTTCCTTGCTTCTCTGCCCCAAGCGTCTCCAATTTTCGGGTGAGAAGCTCCACTGTCTGCTGCACACTCTTGCCCTCAGCCACAGGCATCTGGGACACACTGGAAAAAAGAGTAACAAGTCATCAGCATCCAGAGATGCACTGGCTGAGCCATTCTCCCACCAAAGGACAGCTGAGCAGGAATAAGTGTTACCTTAAAGTAAACCTATGTTGACCACACCTTAGAGATGAGGAAACAGAGGCCCAGAGTCCCTCATAACTCATCTAAGAATAGAGCACAGGTCTCAGGACTCACGCCAGCATTTCCCAAGCATGGCTTGTGTGCCCATGTTTATGTGAAGATTCTAAATGACACACAAACTGAGCATTCAACAACACTAACTCACACAAAGAGAAAGGAAATCCCTTACAACTCTTTCAATTCCAACTATACAAAAGAGAAATTGAAGTTTTAGGTGAGCATACTTCTACCAACTCTGAATTGGAGCTGCCTAGTCCTGCAGCCACAAGTCACAAGCAGCTGGCAGACAGTGTGCTGATAAAGAAAACTGCTGGGATCATGGAAAGTTCCCTCTGACAGTCCTGGGAACAAAAAGAAAGCATGTCTTGGGTTTATAATTTTGGGGAGTGAGAAGCAATGGTATTTACAGAATTTAATCAAAACAATGACCAAAAAATGTTACTTCCAAATTTCTTCCTGTGGTGTGGCTTTCAGTGATAGGTAACATCTGCCCAGCACCAACTATGTTCCAAGCAGTGTCCAAAGGCTTTCAGTGACTTAACTCTTTGAATCCTCCCAACAGCCCTATGAAAGGTACTGCCCTTTTTTTTTTTTTGGGGGGGGGGCTACTGAGGAATTTACCACTAAGCAATATCCCCAATCCTTTCTCAATGTTTTTCTATTTTGAGACATAATCTTGCTAAACTGCCAAGGCTAGACTCAGACTTGTGATCCTCCTGCTTCAGTATCTTCAGTTGTTGGGATTACCAGGTGTGTACCACTGCACCTGAGAAAGATGCTGTCATTTATCAATTTATTATAAATGAGAAAACTAAAGTACAAAGAAATTAATAACTTGTATAAAGTCACTCAGTTAATGCAGATGTAGCCAAGATTCAAAGCCAGGAAACCTAGCCAGGCACTGTGGTGCATGCCTGACAGGAGAATCCCATGTTTGAGGCCAGCTTCAGTAATTTAGCAAGACCCTGTTTCAAAAGCCAAGCATCCTGACTCCATGTCCATGTTCTCAGTCACTAGACTAGACTGCCTGTCTAGGGATGTGGTTGCCTGTTAAAATATTTTTAAGGAAAAGAGTCCAATTTCTTTTAATATTAGTAAATAATAGTACAAAGCTGGATGTACTGATGCATACCTATAATCCCAGCAAGAGGCCAAAGCAGAAGGATTACAGTTTGAGGCCAACCTGGGAAATTCAGCAAGACCCTCCCTCAAATATTTTTAAATGTGTATGTATACATATATATGTATATATATGTGTGTGTGTGTATGTTTGTATCTATATAGAGAGAGAGAGATACAAACATATATATGTTGTATTTCGACACAATACCTTTATTTTATTTATTTTTATGTTGTGCTTAGGATCAAACCAGTGCCTTGCACATGCTAGACAAGCACTCTCCACTTTTCCACAACCCCAGCCCCCATACCTCAAATGTTTAAAACGGTTGGGGATATATAGCTCAGTGGTAGACTTCAATGCCCATAAAAACATACATAAATAAATGATAGTACAAGTAGTACTTAGCTACATAACAATTATAAAGTCACACATGATTGAATTCTGGGAGACTACATTACCTTAATATCAACTCAATGAATCTATTAAGGTAGAGTCCAACTGTTACTAAAAATTGTCACTACTGTGTCAGAAATAGTACTGAGAAGCAATGCTGATGACCTGACTTATTTTGAAATATAAGAGGATCCTTAAATTGATGATGCAAGGAACAGAAATTCTGGGACTCCAAAAAGTTTGAAGGGTAGAGCCAACAGAAAGAGAGCCCTTTCCCTGAGATTCCAAGCCTCTGCACTGTGGCCTTCCCATTTCCACCCCTCACACACTTCCTTACATGAGAGGACAGGGAGGAGGATTGTGATATTAACTGTGAGGAGAAAAAAAAAAAAAATCAGTGGCAATCACTGAGAAATCTATTAGAGCCTGGGCCACCATAAAGAAAAGCATTTCCCACAGGCACACTTTCAAAGAAAAAGTCTAAAGCCCTGACTTCAAATATCCTGGCTTCCAGGGCTAACTGGAAAGATATTCAGCCTAACAAGATTTTAAAAAATAAATAAATAAAAGCGGGGGTGGGGGAGAAGGAGAAGTCCTCTGAGACCTTGCACTTGGGACTAACGCCCATAAGAGCATTGAACCCATACCTTTCCTGCCACCTGGCCTTTTCCAACTGAGATAACATGTTAGAGACAAAGAGTCCAACGAATCTAGATCAACCATGTAATTAATACTGTAGGAAACAAGTCCTGAATAGGTGAAATGCCTGGAATCCCGATCTCCTAATTGCCAATGGCTTCTTTTTTTCTCTCTAGACCCAAGATCTTAAAATGGCCAAGTCAAAATCGGCTGATCTAACTGTATTTGCTGATTCTACGGAGGTGCAAAAAATAAAAAATGCTGTCCCCCTCCAAGCGTTGTCTGCAGTTGAGTCCTAGTCCGGAAATCCTATTTCCAACCCTGAAAGCCCATTCCTGACAGTACTAAGGCCTAATGTGTAGAAACAGGTACCAAGAAAAAGGAGAGAAGGTACATAACCTCTGCCCTGCCACCTGCCAGGATGAAGGGAGCATCACTGAAGAAACAAAGCCGGAGAACCCGCGACCCTTTCAGTGTCCTCTTTATTCACACCACTCGAGGGCAGCTTGCGCAGCTCCCGGGAGTCGGCGGACCTTGGTCCAGAACCTTCTCCCCGGTTACTCCAGGCTCTTCAGGACCCCTAGCCTCGCCCCACAAAAGCCCTGGTAGTCCTACCAAGTCACTCCCATGGCGGCGGGCCAGGAGGTGCCACGATCAAACAGTATAGCGGAGAGCTCTGTTGCCGTCCACAAGAACTGAAGGACCAACGCAAGCTGCGGTCGCGGAAGGGGCTCCGGAAATACGTAAAAACCCGGCGCCGAGGCGACACGTCCACAGGCAAGGGGAGGTGTCTGAGCACTCCCTCGATGACGTTTTCAGTGACGTCATTCGCCCGGCTCCCGCCCCCACGCTTGCAGCACCGGAAATTCCCCTTTGGCAGGACTTCCAGGCCTTAGATCCCTGAAGCTTGGAAAGTGTGGCTTAGGCCGCTACCACTTAGATAAACCGATATTAAAGATAATAAGTTTATCTGTGGATCCAGGGTGTCCCGCTACAGGACCCGGGGGCTGTTTGAATGTAGGTGTGGCGCTGGTGGCACTTCTGGCCTCCGAACACTCGAGGTCGCTGTGATCTCTGCCTGGTCTTTAGGGCACTGGGAGTTCACCGCACATGCGCACTCTGAGCTTTTTGCCATCTCCACGTGAGAACTCTCTCAGGAACTTTTTCGAGGAAAATGCCTAAATTCAAGGCCACCCGTGGGGTTGGAAGTAAGGAAAAGCATGCGCCGCTGGCCGACCAGATTCTCGCTGAGGACTCCGTGCGGGCAGGGGCCCGAGAAAAGCGGCGGGGCCGCGGAACCGAAGAGGAGGAAGAGTACGTGGGGCCCCGGCTGAGCCGACGGATTTTGCAGCAAGCGCGGCAGCAACAGGAGGAGCTCGAGGCAGAGCATGGGACTGGGAATAGGCCCGCAAAGCCTCCGGAGCGCGCCACGCGGCTGGGTGAGTGTCAGTGGGTGGGGTGAGAACAAGAGAGTGGCTAGATGGGGTTAGGTGGCCGGTTAAAAGTAGTCCAAAAGGGGAATAGGTTGGAATTAAAAAGGGGGTTCACATTACACTGTTGTAACGATGCTGGAACGAAAGACCTAGTCCTGGCTAGAGCACTCCACTACCACTCTTGGTTTCAGACACACCCTTCCAAGAACACCGAAGTTAGGCCAACAGGAAGTGATCGCTCACTCCACTAAGTTCTCCTAGTATCTAGCCATTGATTTTGCAAGTGTTTATTAAGATGCCTCCATAGTGCTTCACACTATGCTTGCAGTTTGGATGGTTTGGATACAGAAATAAAAGTAGACATGTATCTGACTTTAGGACCTGAAGAGAACTCAGGAGAAACAATCAGAAAAAATGTATTCCATAGTAAAGTATGCTATCCTTGGTAAAAATAGCATTCGTCTTAAGAGATCAGGCTTTCTAGATTGTATGATCTTCAAGCTGAAAACTAAAAAGCTATGGGGCATATTCCCATCAAGTTGGGGGGGAGATACTGTTTAGAGGCCAGCGAGGGGCAGAGATGCACTGAAAGATGTTTTGGATATTTTTTCATTGTGGAAGGAGTGTTGATCTTCCTGTTGCTTAAACCTCCCAATCTTACTTATTTGTCCTAAAATCAGTGTTTGGCCCAATCAAATATTGTCTCTTGACTACAGTTTCTCTACTTGGTTTCTAAAACATCAAACACTTGTTTAACTACCACCTGACTTAAGTATTTTTTACTGACTCTTGTCTCCAACTTGTTATGAAGTGCCACAAAATTCAGTCATTAGTCCTTCTCTTCAAATACATTTTTTCTGTTGAGATCATGAAGCTTCATGATTTAAATACTATCTGTTTAATGACTCTTCCCAACCTTATATTCCATGCCTGCTCTTGTCCATGAAACCCAGATTCTAGATTCAGCTGCCTACTTGGCATCTCTAATTTGAAGTCTCCTAATATTTATTTCAAATTTAACATACCTAAACAGAACCTCAGCTTGTTCCCAAACCTGCTCCTCCTACTGTCTTCCTTGTGTCTGTTAGCATGATAGCTTTTCATTTACTCAAGGCAGAAACCTTGGACTTCTTTCTTTCTCACTCTGTTTCTGATCTGTCAGGAAATTCTGATGGCTGTATCTTCAACATCCATCCAGAATCTGACCACTTTTCACCACCATCCTGTTCTAACTACCACAGTCTCACACCTGGAATATTGCAACAGTGTTCTGTAATCTCTACAGTCCACTCAGCAGTTAGAGGTCTTCAGTGTCCTATGTGGCCTGCTTCCAGTGCCAGTCTTGCCTCTTCTGCTTTCCCGTTGGTCCTACCTGTGTGTGCCACCTGCATAGGCTTCATTGTTCACTGGAGCTAAGTATGCGTATATCTACCTATAATACAGATTTTGGAGTTGTTAGCAAGTAGACACAATGTCTGTCATAATCCCCTCTCCAATTTAGCTTTTGTCACACATTATCTCTATCGTCCTTGTTTGTTTGTTTTCTCCCCAGTGCTGGACATTGAACCCAGAACCTCGCACATGCTGAGCACATGTTCTATTGAACTACACCCCCAGCCCATCTCTCTTCTAAATGATCTGTTTACGTGTAGCATTTTACCTCACTTGGATTGATAGAATCTGCTCCAGCTACTCAGCCAGCTGTACCCTTTCAAAAAATTAGTTATTCAGATGGTTGCTCAGTTGGAATCTGAACTCTACCACCTGGCCACCAGGGCTCTCCAGGCTAGCTTGCCTTTGCCATCTAGCCCTATTTCTTGCTACGGCCCAACAGACATTCTAATAACTAAGTGCTTTTTCCAGAGTTTTTACCTGGGTGTGGAACACACTCTGTTGTTCCCTTTGTTAATTACCTTTCCATTGCTGTGGCAAAATACCTGAGAAAAACGACGTGAAAGAGGAAAGATTTCCTTTGGCTCATGTTTCAGAGGTTTCTCTCTAGGGTCAGCTGGCTCCATTGTTCTGGGCCTGTAGTGAAGCAGAACATCATGGCAGAGGGAAAGCTGCTCGTCTCATGGCAACCAGAAGCAGAGAGTTGAGAGAGAAGGGGCCAGGGACAAGGTATACCTTTCAAAAGCATGCCCCCAGTGACCTACCTCTGCCAACTGGGCCCTGCCCCCTAATAGCTCCACTGATGAGGATAGTGCCCTCATGACCCAGGTGCTTCTAAGTGCCTATATATTGTCTGGTATATATTGTCTCTATACCAGTATGATTTGATGAGTAATCCAGCCCTACTCTGTGTGTGTGGAGCATAGTGGCGAAGAATGCAGTAAAAACTCTGCCTGCCTGCCATGGGCACATCACCTAGCTATTCTGTGATTAAGTATGCTCATTTGAAATGGTATAATAGCACCTGCATCTTGAGGTTGTCATGATTTGTGAGGCGACATGTGTGGTGTAGAACAGGTCCTGCTTCAAAACCTAGGATGAGGGGCTGGGGATGTGGCTCAAGCTGTAGCGCACTCGCCTGGCATGCATGCGGCCCGGGTTCGATCCTCAGCACCACATACAAACAAAGATGTTGTGTCCGCTGAGAACTAAAAAATAAATATTAAAAATTCTCTCTCTCTCTCTCTCTCCCCCTCCCTCCCTCCCTCCCTCTCTCTCTCCCTCCCTCCCACCTCTCTCACTCTCTCTTTAAAAAAAAATAAATTCTTTAAAAAAAAAAACCTAGGATGATTTATTGATAATAATTTATTGACATTGCTTTCTCTTTGTTTCATATATTACATTTTGTTTCTTAAGCAACATCACGAGCCCCCGGGGACAGGAAGATAGTGTGTGCCTCATCTGTTTCCTTGCACACATCTATATCACAAGCACATGAGGCCGGTACTACATGGCTAATATTACATTGATTCTGAGTCCCTCACCCACTCCTTGCCATGCTCATTGATTTCATCTCCCTCTTCTAGGGCCAGGAGTGCCCCAGGATGGATCAGATGATGAGGATGAGGAGTGGCCCACCCTGGAGAAGGCAGCCAAAATGACAGGGGTAGACCACCATGCGGAGGTGGTTGTGGACCCTGAGGATGAACGTGCCATTGAAATGTTCATGAATAAGAACCCTCCTGCCAGGTAGGGGCGAGGACTTGTTCAGATAGTACATCCTGATAGAAAGTTCCCACAGTGAAGGAAGTGCCTTGGCAAACTTTCGATTCCCTGCCTTTTGAGGGAGCCTGGGCATTGCTAATTGTGGAGGACCACCTTGACCAAACTAGCCCATTCTCCAGCGACTGTTCTGAGAGAGAATGCCTCAGACTCAAAGTGTCTCTCTTCATTGTTATAGAACTACCTGGAATACCCAGGAAAGCAGCTACAAGTCCTTTTTATGTCTGGGGAGAAGCATACAATGCTTTGGTATGCTCAATTTTTTTAGTGGTAAACTCGATTTCCTTAGATCTCTTTCAGACCTTAAGCTGATTTAATCTGGGGCTTTCAACCCCAGGTTTATTGGCATTTGGGGCTGGGTAACTCTTTTTTGGGAAACTGGAACACAAGGGTGTTTAGCAGAAATTTGTCTCTGACATATACCCTTAGATACCAGTAGTGACATTCCCTCTGGTCAAAATAACAAAAAATGACTCCAGACATTGCCACATGCCTCCTGGGGGCCAAAATCCAGACCCCACTTAGAACCACTAATTTATCTCCATCTATAACATATGCCAGCTCTAAAATATGTGGTCCTGTAAATTGCCAATAGGCAAATTCCTGAGCCTGTGCATTTGGCCCTGGGGAGGGGAGTCTATGGACCCTCAATCAAGTCATTCTCTCCCTGTGACATGAATGTGATGGTTCTTCAAGATGGTTCAGCTCAGTGCATCTCTGATTGCTAATGATACTCTGAAAAGACAGGGAGGCTAAATGGTAAGTTCTGTGGCAGCTTGAAAGCACAGATTGAAGATGTAAGCCCCTCTCCCAGATGGATGCCTGATAGTATGGCACAAAGTGTCATACTTGGCCTCTGTGCCTGTCCCCCCAAAGAGTCTTTCAGGTTGTCACTTGGCACCTCATAACTCCTACTTACGACAAATTTGGCAGAACTGTTTTACAGCTTGCAGTAAATAGACAAGCTACTAGAAAAAGGGAGTCTCAGCAGTCTTGAGAAGTGACAGTTGACATCTTCAGAAAGCAGGTCTGGAGCTATGTGAACTCAGCAGGCAGATATTGTTTGGTCTTGGGCACAATGTACTGTAAAGCACCTGAACTGTAGAACTAGAACCTGAAAGACTGAGTTTGAGTCTCCCCCACTTGACAGCAGTGCAGCCTCAGGGGACTTATTAACCTCTCTGAGTCTCAGTTCCCCAGTCTGCATAAGGGGAATAAAAGCATCTCCCAGACACAATGTAGTCATAAAGTCAATGCTGCCAAGCACTGAGCAGGCTCTCAGGGGATAAGAGCAGTTTTATTCATCTATGTATCTTCTTACAGAGCCAGGGATGAAACTCCAGGCCTTGTGCATGCTAGGCCAGTGCACTGCCACTTTAGCTACAGCCCCCCAGCCCTGGAGCGTTTTTATATACATATAAGCAGCCTCAGAAAACACGATGTCATACCATAGCCCAGGGTGATGATCACTCGAATCCTTAAGACAGAGTTATGTTTGTTATCCTCTGTTTAAGGAGACTGAGAAGAATATAATCAGTCTGTGGAATATTTCCAAATTTTAGTAAATTTAAATGGGAAAAGTATGTGCTGTGGTCTGTCTATAGTGATCACAGCCATGTGGAATATTGGCAGGTAATTAAGGTGTATCTGGGGTTGGAGCTGTGGCTCAGCGGTAGAGCACTCACCTAGCATGTGTGAGGCCCTGGTTTTGATCCTCAGCACCACATAAAGAAATAAATAAAATAAAGGTATTATGTTCACCTACAACTTAAAAACAAAAAAAAAAAAAACTGTACCTGGCATTGTGGGGAGTTCAGACCAGGAGTTTGTAACTGCAGCACCCTTTTTTTGTGCCAGCATTTGAGGGGGTGTTGAGATCAGCAGCACTTAATACTTTATTACTTATCACACACTTGCTGTGTACAGAGAGTTCCCAGTAACACTCATGCACTCACTTGTTTAACCCTTACTTTAACCACATGAGGCAGTACTTTATTACCCCCATTTAACTGCTGAGGAGACTGGGGCAGAAAGGTAAAATCAATTGCCGAAGATCCTACTGGGAGTGGGAGAGCCAGGATTTAAACCTGAGCACACTGACTTCAGAGTCCAGGTGCTGCCCCTCCACAGGACTGCCAGCTTTATCCTAAATGAAATGACTTTCAGGTCCTTCACTCTCTACAGTGTCTATGGTAGGAGATTGGGCACAGGGGAGTCTGGAGCTTCCTAGTCAGTGACCACAGCTCTCTCCTCTATTCCCCTCGGCACTCCCCTCTTAGGCGCACCCTAGCTGACATCATTATGGAGAAGCTAACTGAGAAGCAGACCGAGGTCGAGACAGTCATGTCAGAGGTGTCAGGCTTCCCTCTGCCCCAGCTGGACCCCCGGGTCCTGGATGTCTACAAAGGGGTCCGTGAGGTAAGAGCTGAAAGGGCAGCCATGGTGATTCCCTTCCAGGGGCAGTGGGCTCCCGCCTCAGGCACTGATGCCCACACCTCATCAAATAAGGCACGGTCATCACGAATAGGCTCAAGCCAGAGTGTGTGGGTTCGTGTTCCTGCTTTGCCTCTCTGCGGCCTCTAAAAGGTGACCAGCCAAGTAGTTATTGAACCCCAGCCATTTGAAGAGCGAATATAGTGATAGCACCTCCTTACAGGTTGTTGTGAGGACAAAATTAGTTAACATGTAAAAAGCCCCTGAATGAGAACCTGGCACATGGGGTATCAGTATTGGTGGTGATGATTTGTCCTCCCTTGTCCCTAGGTCTTATCCAAGTACCGCAGTGGGAAACTGCCCAAGGCTTTTAAGATCATCCCTGCCCTCTCCAACTGGGAGCAGATCCTCTACGTCACAGAGCCTGAGGCCTGGACTGCAGCTGCCATGTACCAAGCTACCAGGTAGCATGGCTGGGGTTAGGGTGGCTTTCTTGCAGAGGTGAGGGCTGGGGTGGGACTGACGGGCTCACCTGCCTTTGCCCCGTAGCTCCCTCTCACGCTTCCTCATAGCACCTTTGTCCTAGCTTTTTCTCTTTCATTTTTAGGGCCACAACTCAGTTGGCACCTCCCTATAATGAGTTTTTAGGGGAGAAGATGATAACTATTGGGATATACCGTGGTGTGTCAAAGTAGACTCATAAGTCTGTGGCTCTCCAGGCTGCTCAGGTCTCTTAGGACAACACGTTAGAGAAGAGCCATGAGGGGGAGGGGAACGTGGATAGCCATGTGGGAGAACTCTAGCAGTCCCAGCCGCTAGACTGGGGATGTAGGGGCAGAGCACTTGCCTAGCAGGTGCAAGGTCCTGGATTTGGTCCCCAGCACTATAAACAAGAAAACCCAGCATGTACCCTATTTTGGGTATATCCTGCTGTATCCCTCTCACAGGCTTCCACACACCCCTCTCTGAAAGGATGTTTCCATTTCTTACTGTACAATCTCTTGCCTGCACTGTCCACAGTGGTATTTTAAGGGCCAGGTCCACGCTATCTTGTGACTTGGGAACTCCTGCCCCACTAGGATTTTTGCCTCTAACCTGAAGGAACGCATGGCTCAACGTTTCTACAACCTTGTCCTGCTCCCCCGGGTACGAGATGACATCGCCGAATACAAACGACTCAACTTCCATCTCTACATGGCGCTCAAGAAGGCCCTGTTCAAGCCCGGAGCCTGGTTCAAAGGTGGGAGCCAAGAGGCCAGGAGGCAGGCAGGGCTGACTTGAAGGCTGTCTGTAAGACCATGCCATTGATGGTCCCTGGGACAGTTGGGGGTGTTTCCTGCTGTACCTCCTTTCTCTCATCCTGGACTAAAAGTGACTGTCCTCTGAAATTCCTCAGGGATCCTGATCCCACTGTGTGAGTCAGGCACTTGCACCCTCCGGGAAGCCATCATCGTGGGTAGCATCATCACCAAGTGCTCCATTCCTGTGCTGCACTCCAGGTAGTGTTGGGGATGGGTGTGGGGGGACTGATCAGTGGATATCCTCATAGTGGTGTTGCCAGGACTCAGCATGAGGCGGAGTGGGGAGGGAGCCAAGAACAGCTCTGGGTTTGTGGCTTGTTTAAGCCAGTGGGTGTGTCATTACTTCACTAGAATAGGGGTTCCACAAAAATAGAATCCTACAGGCTGGCACTTGATAAACTCAGTAACTAGATGAATGAATAGAAAATGGGGAGAAAGGAGGCAAGGGGTGGAGATGGCCAGGTGTTTGGATACACTCTGCCTAGGCACCGGAGCTGCTGTGGTCCAAAGCAGAGGCAGAGATGTGGGGTGGGTATGTCTAGATAGTAACTGGAATCCAGTGAGTATCATAAAGTTGAGCGGGTGAGGAGGAGGTCTGTGCTGGCCCATGCGGAAAACCATAGTCAAGGGCCAACAAAGGAGAAGGATCCTTCCCAGCATTTCCCTGATGACTAACTGCACTACCACATCTGCCCTTCCCACCAGTGCGGCCATGCTGAAAATTGCTGAGATGGAATACAGCGGTGCCAACAGCATCTTCCTGAGACTACTGCTAGATAAGAAGTATGCGCTGCCCTACCGGGTGCTGGATGCCCTGGTCTTCCACTTCCTAAGGTTCCGGACAGAGAAGCGTGAGCTGCCTGTGCTCTGGCACCAGTGCCTCCTGACACTGGTCCAGCGCTACAAGGCGGACTTGGCCACAGATCAGAAAGATGCCCTCCTGGAACTGCTCCGGCTACAGCCCCACCCACAACTGTCCCCTGAAATCAGGCGAGAGCTTCAGAGTGCAGTTCCCAGAGATGTGGAAGATGTATCCGTTACCATGGAGTGAAGAGAATGGATACATGTCATGGCCCAGATGGCATGGGAGGACACCAGGACCCTTGTTTGTGATGAAGCACAACATTGAACCTTTATGGCTAAAGACCTAGATCAGAACACTAATAGGTCCCAGCAGCATCTGTGGTTCCCAGTCCTAAGCAGGGGGGACAGAGTCTGGCTGGCTCCCTCTTCCATTCTAGGCCTCCATCCCTGCTTGCCTCTGGGCCTGCCTTGAGATTCCACACCCTAGCATCTCACTCCCTAGCTGGGGCATGATATAAGTACCTTCTCTCCAGCTTCTGTGTCAAGTCACTGAGACATGGCTAAAAACAAAGGCAAGTATTTATTGAACCTCTGTATGGCGGTGTGGTTGATGGAGAAATTTCTACTTCCCTCTGTAGCTGGAGATGGGAGTTACTTTTCCCAGTTTTTGTCTTCAGTTTACACAAGACCCCCACCTCTTCATCTCAAAGATTGTTTCTCTGGGCTTCACTTGGCTCATTTGCCTCCAGGGGGCATATTCTCTGCCTGCCCAAGAGGACAAGGCTACTCTACACATTGGTAGCAACAGGGAGCTGGCTATTCATGATTTGAAAGGTGTTGGTGGTACAACTGAATGAAAGGACCACCAGAGAAAGGCCCTCCTCAAGGTTAGACCTAGAAATGATTAGGTCTGGGTCAGCACCAAACAGRTTCTTTTGAGCTTTTTGGCCAACAAACTTTAAACCAGTGTTTAAAGTGTCAAGCTAGGGTAAGGTACCTGTTTTTATGTAGCAACAGTATTTTGTGAGAATTATGTAAAATTCAAATTTCAGTGTCCATAAGCAGTCTTGGTGGGGTATAGCTATGCTGTTTGCCCATTTTCTGTGCCACCCTCACAGAGGTGTCTGTCATCTTGCTGCATATCTTCATTGTTTGCTTTGAAAGTATGCATTTGTTCCAACCCAATTAATGTTTGGGAACAGTTTGATCCTAACACCAATTTCATGTTGGCTTATATGCAGTTTCATATTTGAGAAACCTAGGTGAATGCAGAAAAGTGCACCCAGCTGAACCACTTCAAATCACTACCCAAAACATACCTCAAAAAAGTACTGGCTTCCTCTGTTCAGCCCACCCACATCTGATGGTGCAGCTCTGCTTCCACCTCTGCATCCAAACAGGTTGTTTTCCTGAAGTGTTGGGATGGAACCCAGGCCTTGAGTGTGGCAGGGAAGCATTCTACCCCAGAGCCATGCCCCACCCCACTCATTAAATTTTTGGTTGTGCCTCAAACCCCATTTCCCATCATCCTTTGAGGTTGTGCAATGTTGCATCACAGCCATTTTTAGGAAGGGATACATCATATTATAAAGCAGAACTGACTTGGGGGCACTAGACCATACATGGCCCACAAAGCCTGAGTATTTACTCTGGCCCTTTACAGGAAAGGCAGTCCAGGCTTCAAACAGTTGGCTTTGCCTTCTCACTTCATGAAGTTTAGAAATAGGCTTTTACCAGCAACACCATGAAATCTAAGAAACCAAACCCAGTTTATTCCAGAATCTTTATTAAGGCAGTATGATGGCCCTGGGCCACCAATCTAAACCTTGTGGCCTTAGGAAAGACCTGTGTCGACAGGGCTTCCTCCCTCTCCAGATGGGGGCTTAGCCACCTCCAGCACATCCTGCTTCATCCTCCCTGCTGGAGAATGGGGCACAGGGCAAAAGGGAGAGGAGGCCTTGATCCCACCCCAGGCAATAGCAGCTCCTGGGCCACAAAGATCCTTTTAGCCAGTAGCAGAGGGGAATAAAAGAGCAACCACCAGGGTTACCACCACTTGTGGGGTAGACAGGCACCACAGCGCCCTCTTACAGTTGTACTCAAAACAATTAATAAATTAAAACTTTTTCCTTCAGCACCAGACCCCTGGATCACATGGAAGCTGAGTGGAAAGCAAAGCAAGGAGGAATCTGTGGTTTCTTGCCCCTGACTGAGGCCTAGGCCCTTCTCTAGGAGCAGCTGGGAGCATGGATTATATGGGACCTCCAGAGTGTGCTGAGAAGAGCCATTGAGACTAAATCCCCTCATGTTTGCCAGGATGTCTGAAGGACCCCAATCCAAATGCAATAACCCTAGGAGGGGCAACACTTAGAGAATATCTCGGCAGTTGAGAACATGAGCACCCCAGAGAGAAAGGGGCCTCAAAAAGGAATGCTGGTGCATTGATTACCTGTTTCAATTTGTCTGAACAGCCTGGCCCAGACCCAGCTAGAGTCCAGGAGGGGGCTGAGCTGGTCAGATGCCAGGGGAGGAGGAGGAGGAGCTGACTAGCCAGGCAGACACCAACACAGCTGGCCGGCCCCTTAGTGCACACTGCAGGGATAGGCAAGACCTGGCCCCTTGGGTTTTGTGAGGGTAAGGAGGAGCCCCCTCAGGCTTCCCATGTGGCCCAGATTGTTCCTAGAGGCAGGGAGGGGTTGCAGTAGCCCCTCATCTGCTTGGAGGCCACTCGATGGGGCCTGTCCAGGGCTACAGGTGGATGGCTGTAACATCTGTGGGCGTGCTGGTCTGGCTGGGCCCCTGGCTGCTGGAGCCCCGGGGTGCTTTGGGCGCTGGGCTGGGGGTGGTCTGGGCAGCTTCCCTCAGACTCTCCCTGAGCGCAGCTTCAATCTGCTCCTGACAGGCCCGCAGGCAGTCCTGGGAACAAGGGGAACAGTGAAGAACAACTCCCCCTAAACAACTGGCAGCAGGTGCAGGGAAAGGACACCTCCAACACACAGGGAAGTCGGGAGGTTAAGCCACAGACTAGCCCCAGGAATTGGGCCTTCAGTTCTCAGAAACTGGCAAGAGGATGTGGCAAGAGGGTGTGAGAGCAACCCGACATCTGACACCAACTCCCCCACCCCCGCTGCAGCGTACCACTTGGCAAGAAAAGTGTACCTAGAGACCAGTGCCCTTCACTCCACCCAAGACACTTCCCGAAGGCCACAGAAGCCCACAAGGGTGTGAAAGGAGGAGTTGAGCCCAGGGTGGGGACAGAGGCCTCCCTCTACTGGAAGCTCAGGGAATAGCACTGCTTCATGAATGGGGAGGCTGGGGCCCAGCTGCCCTGCACTCACCACTTCAGTGCCTGTGATCCCTGCCAGCAACTCTGTGAGCTCATCTCCGGATGTGGAGCASGCGCCCAGGCCTTGCACTGCAGCCCCAATGCTGCCTGTTACGATCATAGACGGCGGATACATGGCAAAGGTGTAATCTTGGAAAGGAGAAAGAATCATGAGACAGGAACCTCAAGGATAATAGCCATTATGGATTTCCTTCTCCTCAGGAAGTGCTAGGGGGTGATGAATAGAGGAGGGGGCATACCCAGAACCCCAAGCAATGGGTGAGGTAAGATAGGCAAGGGAGGAAGTCAGGAAAGAACCTCTTTCCAAGAGAGGTTTAGGATGTGCTGCTTTTGTTTTTGCTGTGCTGTGGATCAAACCCAGAGCCTCATGAATGTTAGACAAGCCGTCTACCACTAGGCTACAACCCCTGCCCAAGAGTATCAGGATGAACAGCAAAATTTCCACTGGTCCAGGGTACTCCTGGTCAAGGAGTGCAGAATGTTCACTGGTGTGGAAACCCAACAACTTGTCATCAGAACTTGGGCAGGTCACTTCTTTCTCACTATGCCCTTAGTCTCACCTACACACTGGAATCTCCAAGATCCCTTATATTTCAGAGTGTGATCTGCATCTTCTGCATTAAAACTAGGGGCTCCATAAGGTATGATTTTCACAAATATATTTTGAGGGGAGTATAAACTGGAATCTCCTAGTCTTCTGATTGTTTCAGAGTTTGGCAAAAATGTGTACAGAGCTCTTACCTGTAGCACAGAGGGCCAAAAAGGTCTGGGCGTGCTTTTTGACCAAGGCCTGTCGGTCACTGGGCAGAGAGAGCCGGTGCAGAATCAGGGCCAGAAAATCATGCGCAATCACAGCAGCCAGGTCCCATTTGAGTTTTCCCAAGACCAGCACCTCCCACTCCTGGTGGTTGGAAAAAGAAGGGGGCAGGGGGGCTCAGTAACCAGAGAAGAGAAAATGAGGGGGGAAACAGCACAAGACTCACAGGGAAGAAAGCTCATCAAACTTTCAAAGCTCAAGACTCCATTTCTGATTTTTGTTTTAGGGATTGACATTATGGATTGGAGAGTCCAGGGCAGGGAAGAGCGGGGGCATTTCCCACTCCAATAATGGGGACTGAACCCAGGGATGTTTTACCACCAAGCCACATCCCCAGACCTTTTTATTTTTTTATTCTGAGACAAAGTCTTGCTAAGTTGCTTAGAGCGTCACTTAGTTGCTGAGGTAGGTCTTGAACTTATGATTCTCCTTCTTCAGCCTCCTGAGTAGCTGGAATTACAGGCATGCGCCATCACACCCAATAGGACATTTGTTTTGAGGATCTATTAATCATTTAATAGATGCCAGTACTGCATGCTTTACATGAATTGTCCTTTTTAATCCTGATACCACCAACATCACCATGAACTTGAGGCTCCTCTGGGATAAAACAGATTCTCCAAACCATAAGGATTTGAGAAAGGAGAGGTCTATACCAGCCATCCCCTCCCCAACTCTGCATCCCAGCAAAGCTTACACCTCTTGAAGAAACAGGAGTAAGCATGAGGCCACTCCTATGACAACCACTGAGCCTCCTCTGAGGTTCCTCAAAGGGGAGGTTACCCAACCCAACCCACATCCCCTTGGTGGGACATCAGGGGTGGGTCCTGGGGTATCTGACCCATCCCACTCCCTTTAACTAGAACCTATAGTGCCCAATGTCATTTGAATCTTAGGGGAAAAGGTGGAAGCCAAGTCAGGATGGATCAAGCCCTGTCCCCCATCTGTCCAAGCCTACATATTAATACTAAGTCTTAGAGGGAAGCTGGGAACCCCTCCCCAATTCACTCATCTAAGGTTCCCAGACCTGGCCCCATTTCCGACTTGCATGCTTAAGGATTTCTTCATTGTTTTATCTCAGGAAGGAACTCGTGGGTTTGACTCCTCATTGAGGCAGAAATGGCAGCCCCACCCAACCTCTTCCAGGCCCCAACCACAGCTGTCCCTCTCTTGGTCCCCAAGTGTCAGCCCCAAGCTTCTCACAGGGCCCCAGAGCAACAGTCTGGGACAGCCAGAGTGAGGTCAAGAAGCTAGATCTGCTCCTGAGGCCTGCCCCAGAGCCTAGCTCCTTGGGGGGCGGGGGGCAAGAAAGTACCTAGCCTCCAAGGTAACACCCAAAGGCAACCAAAGAGGCCTCTCCCTGTGGGGTGGAAGGGGTTCCCGTGGTGAGGGGATGTGTCCACCCTCCCCCATATCCAGGCGACCCTTC